ATATACATATATATATATACCAAATATTATTAGTGGTTACTAGGGGTAGGAGGAAGGAGGAAAGGAGAAGATTTTGTTTGTGTGGCACTGAATTCATGCTGATGGTGGAAGAATACTTTGGAAAAGGATAGCAGTAACGGTGGCACAACATGAAAAATGTCATCAATGTCCTTGAGCTGTAAATGGGAAGTTGTTATGTTGGCGAATGTGTTGCATATGTTTTCACCCAACAAAAGTAATAAATAAATAAGATTAAGAACAATTTTTTAAAAAGATTTGCAACCTTGAAAACACAAGGGGATAGAGTTGCCTGTGACCAGTAATCAATCTGATGCCAATGGTTTTTTTGGTTTTTTTTAAATCACATGAAAACTGGGAGGACCACTGGGGTCATGGATTAGGCTGGATTAAAGCCAGTAAACAAAGAGCAGGGACAGACAGGCACTTCTCTAAATGGAACAATGTAAACAGCAGCAGGGCCCTGGGGACTGGGCGGGTTTACTTCTTCATAAGCAATTAAGAACAGGAAGTAAGTGGGGAGATCGCCCTGTGTGAGAGAAACTGAGAGTTCCTGGGTGGAGAGTGTGAGACTACTGGGACCTCACCCAGGTCTCCTGAGGCTGTGAGATGGGTTGGGACCCCATCTGTCCTGCGGAGGCCCAACCTACTACATTGAGAGGACAATGGCTCTTCGGCATCCAGTGAGAACCTACAGCTGGACCAGAAAGAGTGAAAGAGGAAGCCAGAGGAGGAATAACACATCGTGATGCCCATGGATTAAAATAATTCAGAATAAATGAGTAAAAACTTTTCACCTGAGGAAGGAATACAGAGAATCATTGCTGTCTGCTTGGGCAATGCATTTCTTTAAAGAGGTACATTTTAAATTTAAAAAACAGGGAGAGGTTTAGGTCAAGCAAAGGGAAGATTTAGGAATAAATCTTGAACAAGAGACTCTGATGAGTCCTGGAAGCTCTCTGAAATCCAGAAGGAGCCCTCTAATGACAGGAGCCCAGGAGCCCAGCTTTAGAAGGCTATCACCTCATCCTGGAGTCCCTGGGGCTACTGCACTGGGCTCCACTCCCTCCCGACAGGTCCCTCCTCCCAAACCACAGTCTTTGAACTCAAGCTTCAGGCCTGAACTAGCCAAGGCCCAAGGCTGCCCTGAAAGAGCCTCACCTGCTGTTGGCTCTGCTCCTCCAGGTTCATCTTCACCTCTAGTGACTGGCGGGCCTCCAGGAAGGCCTTGCGGTGCTTGCGGTCTGCCATGTAGTAGGACATGATGCCCACAATGATAGCACACAGGTAGAGGAAGATGTTGGCCAGGATCTGGACCCAAAGGGAAGAGAAAAGGACAATGGTGAAGGCAGATCTCCAGGAAAAAGGATGGAGAAGAGGGCGAATAGTGACCAAAATCAATCTCTAAGTTTCCCATGGATGGGTGGGGCCCACCCAAGGCAGAGCGCCAGGCCTGGAAGGCACAGAGATTCCATGAGACCCAGGGTACAGGCCTGAAGACCACTTGAGAGGCTGCTTTTCACCCCTCCTGTTTTTCACTTTAGTTAAGCCAGCCAATCCCCTCAGTCAAGCCAGCCAATCCCCTCAACCAGGAGACCTGGGCAGCCTCTCATTGTTCAACTAACACTTAATAAGCATGTATGTGCCTTTAGGCACTGTGTGGATTAGCTGAAGAGGAAGGGTGAGGAGGACATATGTTATGGATTGAACTAACTCCCCAAAATATGTGTGTTGAAGTCCTAACCCTCACACCTATAAGTATGACAGGTTGGAAATAGACTTTTTCTTTTGTTATGTTAATGAGGTTATAACCAGAGTAGTTGTTGTTGTTTATAACAGAGTAGGGTGGGTCCTAAAACCCTAATCGGGTAACCTTATCTATGGGACCTGGTAGATAAGTGGTGTCTTATAAAAAGAGCAGAGTAGGCATAGATAAGGAGCTCTGGAGGCATACTGTCTAAGGCATCAGACTGTCAACCAGAAGGTTGGCAGTTCAAACCCACCAGCTGCTTTGCAGAAGGCAGACTGAGCAATCTATTTCCATAAAGATTTACCACCTCAGGAAACCTGAAGAGGGTGGCTATGAGTCAGAATCAACTCAATGGCAGTGAGTTTGGTTTTTTGTTTGGAGGCACAGAAATCCATACAAGAGGAAGACAGATGTCATGTAAGGATCCATCTACAAGCAAAGGAACAGTAAGGATCACCAGCAGATATCAGAAACCAGAAGAGAGGCCACAGGAGGAGTCAGATCCTGATTTGGATTTCTAGTCTCCAGAATCATGAGAAAATAAGTTTCTATTCTTTAAACCCATTGGTAACAAAGACAGCATACAAAATCCAGGTCCCAGCAACCAGGAATGTGCAATTCTAAAAGCTGCAGACCATTTGGGATATCACAAGAGACCTGACGAGGGCCTGGCTCATTCAGCTGTCACAATGCTACCTTACACATGTGCTGTGGGTTTAGAGGTTTCTGAGATTCCCATGCATCCTCTCAACCAAACCCAGCTGCCAGCTGTGAGGAGGCAACCAGTATCAGCATCCAGGTCTGCTAAGGAGCCAACCTGAAGCTGCAGGAAGGGGACAGTAAGGCTGTGGGACCCGAAGTTCGCCCCCTGTTGCAAGCTCAGTGATTTGACACAAAGGGCTGCTTGAGCTTTGAGAGCCCTTTTCCTCGTCCTGGCACCTTGTAGACTCTACCTAGGTGTTTCCCAGGGCAGTAACCCACTCCTACAAGCTGCTGGACTATAGACCTGGAACAATGGATAGGGGCCTGCGCATCCAAACCACACCCAAGATCCTGACTCTGGCTTCAGTGCCTCCTATCTCTGACAAGACCCCATTTGAGCTAGACCAAGACCAATTCCTCCCACTTTTTCAAGACCACTGGAGATGAGCCTTCTTCCAGTCAGGACTACTTCTCAGTCTGGTTCCTTGTACTTCTTGGTGTCAGCTCCCCACCCTCCCCCTGATTCCCTGAGGTCCTCCCAGAGGAAGGACAAAACTTCCACTATGGGGTGTGGTTTCATCAGGAGGGGCCAGCTACTGGAGAAAAACATTATGCTTGGTAAAGTAGAAAAACCAAACCAAACCAAACCCACTGCCCTCGAGTTGGATCCGACTCATAGCGACCCCTCCTTGGGTTTCTGAGGTGGTATCACTATGGAAATAGATTGTTCAACCTTCCTTTCGAGGAGTGGCTGGTGGGTTTGAACAGCCAGCCTTCTAGTTAGCAGTCAAATGCCTTAGGCACTATGCCACCAGAGCTCCTTGGTAAAGTAGAGGGTCAGTGAAATAAAGGAAGACCCTCAACAAGATGGATTGACACCGTGGTTGCAATAATGACCTCAAATATAATGACTGTGAGGATGGAGCCTCAAGCTGGACTGGAGGATGGAGGATCAAGCAGTGTTTCATTCTTTTGTACATAGCGTAACTATGAGTCGGAACCAATTCAACAGCACCTAAGAACAACAACATGGTTGAATGGACAATAAGGGAGATGAGTTCCGACATTAATTTTCTGGGCACCTTATAGCCTCTGAACTGTTTATGTGTTTCCTTGGTGCTTATCATTAAGGCCCCCTCACAGCACCATCATGTACCCAGTGGAAGGCTCCCTAACTATTTGTACTCAGTTGAGATGCTAGCCCCAGGGGCCCTCAATACAGGCCCACTGAACACATGAATTAACATGAGGAGTATCTTGATGCTGGTCATAGCGTCAATGGGTGCAGATTTCACCAGGTCCTTTGCTAGCTAGTTCCAGCATCTAATGACTCGTGCCCATGGGCCCAGTAGCCTCATCACCTACACCAAAGTCTTATGGAATGTCTCTTATTTTTCCTGCAGGGGCATTGTACCACCACTCCCCATCCTGATGGTCAGTATCAGTACAGCCTCAAGCCACACATTAAACACCAAATAGTCAGAAAAGCTGCCAGCTTGTGCTGAGTCAAAACAAACGCAAAGCATGACTATGCTGGGTCTCAAGGCCAGAATCTGGCTTGGGGTCTAAGAACGCCCTCCTGTGGGCTATGTGGCCTTGGAAACCCCTATGCCAAGGCTCATGTTTCCAGAAGGTGGGCCCAATTGGCTGACAAGGTCAGGTTGGTGCCCTGTGAGTCCACAAAGGAGTCCTGGCTAGGGGTGCCACACCATTGCACTCTGCCAAAGCCACATAGCATCTAGATAGAGCGCCTGACAGTGTGAGGGTCTTTGGGCTTATAAGGCTCTGGGTTCTGGGGGTCAGGCAGAGGCTACCTGGGAAGCAAGCTTCTGGGATCCACACTTGCATGGAGGTGTATGCCTAGACACCAAGCTCCAGACCAGCAGGGCTGCCCAGGGCCCATAGGCTGTCTTTAGAAAGGGCATTTCTAAAGCTAGCCCTGGTGCCAATTAGCCTTGGCTGTCACACTGGACCAGGGAAGGGCTCTGAGCTCTGGACTTCCTCCTCTCCTCCCCTAGGCCTTGCCTGGCCACATCCTAGGGACACTTCTGAGTGCAGAGGCTGGCTTTAGAGATGACCTGTTCCAGAGAGGCCTGGACTCAGCCAGGGTGGAGGAGTGAAAGGCAGGTCTGTTCCCAGGTTGACCAAGGAGTCATGCTGCCCCTGAGGGTCCTGTGAGTCAAAGAGCCTCATCCTCTTCCTGGCCTGCACTCCCGACCTGCACTCTTGGCTGATGCCTGGCCCCAGGAAGGCTGGTACCAGGGATGTGGAGGCAAAGGGCAATCTGTGCCATGCTCTGGAGGGTCATATGGGTCCTGCAGGTCCCATCCATGCTGGAGAATTTTACCTCCTGTGAGCACAACTGTTTGTAGGCAATTCTCTCGGGAGTACCAGGTGTTGGGTTTCTTAATGCTCCCCTCAATGCTCCAAATTTGCCTCAACTGAGAGGAGGGTCCCTCAGGAGTCCTGGTGCTTCTGTTCCACTTGGGTAGACTCTTGCTCTCACACAACAATGGCTCATAGAGGCTTAGAAGAAAGTGGGCAACCCCCATCCCTGATGGAGAGTGGTAAGAAGAACACATGTGTTCTGGGAGGCAACATGTGCCCTCAGAGGTTTGTGTCAGCTCCTGAGTCCAGGGCACAAGGCCATTAGGGTGACTATGCCAAGATGAGGAAACCCCAAGCCAGAAAGCAAGAGTCTACTTTGGGGAGGAAGATTTGAGAGCAATCAGGAGACGCTGCCCTGGCAGCGGGAGGGGTTCTCAACACTCACACATCACAGTCACCTGTGGTAATGATGACATACCCATGCCTGGCTCCGCTGGAAGTGCTTATGCAACTGGTGGGGTAGATGCAGGCAGCAGGAGTTTGTACAAGCTCCCGGTGATCCTAAGTGTGGCCAGGGCTAGGAACCCTCCTCCAGCCTCAGTTTCCCTACCTGTAACATCACCTCAACATCACATGATGCCCTAGGCATGTGCTATCCCTGTAACAGCATCATTTTCAATCTGTGAGGTAGGTAGTATTACTCCCAAGTTACAGATGCAGGAATTGAGATGTTTTCAAGGCCTCACAAGCAGAGCACCAGGTCTCTTCCTACACTCATATCCTATTATTCTATAGTCCAAGTCCCACCTAAAAAAGTATTCTTCAGTTTATCTATTTACATATTTATAGCCCCACCTTTTTTCCAGAAAGGATATTAGGTATTTTTAAAACTCAAAGTAGAGATTCCAGCCTTAGAGCACTCATGTGGGGGATGGAGGTCGGGTGCATATTTTAAATCTGAAACAAAAAAATTGGGCTACAGATTTTCCACAGCATTTTCACACATGACAGTGGTCAGTACTGTTAAGCTCTTAAAACTCAGGAAATTCTTCTTCAATATTTATAAATACATGTGTCCTCCCACTTAGCAAATTGATGTGCTTCTCAACACTCAAGACAGGTTTGAAGTTTCATCTATTCAGGATGAGTCCAGCACTGTGTTGTTGCTAAGGAACTACTGTGATCATGACCCCATTCCTCCAGGAGCCCCCATAGGGGAGCAGGTCCAAGGATCAGACCAGTGACCCCTCAGGGAAGGTTTTGGTGTTGAGAGTGGGGTGGGTGGGATGGTGCTGTCATTTCTCTAAAACAAGTAAATTATTGCCCCTCATTATCTTTTAAGAATCCAGGAAAAAAAAAAAATTAGGCCACAAGGGAACACTTGAGTCCTAGTGAGTATTTGAAATGCTCCCTCAGGTCACTATGACAACCGGGTTTCTCCAAACTGAGCCTGGAGCTCTGCTGGTCTCAGATTGGTTTTTCCGTGTTCCCATCCCAGGGTAAGAAGAAGGGGTAGGGGGCCTCCTTTTTG